AATTTCATAAAATTTAAATAATTATTTATTGAATTATAATTAAAAATATTAATTGAAAAAAAAGGTGGTTTTTTTTGCTCCCAACTGTATCTTAGTAATTTTTAAGCAACAAGATTAATATAACTTATATAATATCTGATATATTCTATATACTATAACTATTTCAGATATATATTATAAAAGTAAAATATATATTACATCTAAACTTATTATAATTTAATTCAAATTATTTTTAGTTTATATAAATTAAAAACAATTATATTTATTAAAAAATTTTTTAAAAAATTTTTTTTATTTTAATAAATTAATTTGATGAATTTGATTAATTGAATTATAAGAAAATAAATACAACGTATAAAATCTTCAAATCTGATATTTTCTATTTATTATATGTCAGTATTAATTTAGAAAAATCAATTTATTAGAAAATCATTAACCTTTTTTAAAAAAAATAAAGATAATAATATTTAACAAACATGTTATAATTTGAAAAATGTATGTATGTGAAAAATATTTTATATTAATTTATTATAAATCAAACCACAAATTTAATAAAAATCATAATTTCTATTATAAATAAATAATAATATACCGTATATGCTGTGAATTCGAATTTAAAAAGAAATATAAAATAGGATATAGTATTATTATCTCGCATAAAGAAAGTCAAAAACTAGAATACGTATCTAACAATATGTTTAATAAGCTGAAATTAATATTTTTTCGTTTTTGAAGTCATAAAATTATTATTTGGAGTAATAAAGGAATAAATAAGGGTCGGACACATGAATTACATATGTCGAGGGTGCAATCTGTTAACAAGTGAACCTAAGGAACCTAAATTACATTAGTCAGTGTTAATGCGTTGTATAATCCCATTCCCTATTATGGTAACATACACTTATCCAATTATAGATTAAACCAATTAACTACTAATAATAACATGATTGGTCTTTCTTTGCCAATAATTTAATTTTACAGTAGACTACTGAAGGAATGATGATAATATTGACGACGCTGCCCTAACATAAAACATTATAACATTGAGATTTCGTAATTTAATGCGTAATGCTCTATAAGAGAGGTACGGCCTATATGACCTTCGTGCACTTATGGAGGAAAGGCGTTAGTTAAGTATTGCAAAGAAACGAATGTTCAAATTACGTCAATACGAATGAAGAACGGAAGTTCCGATCACCTATCATAATCGAATGAATGCGACACGAAAATATACGATCAAATGGGTAGGTGCATTTATAGAGAGCTAAATTGTCATTGTGCTACGGTCTGCGATTTATCCGTTAATAATTTGTGTTCCATAGAGAGCGTCCAGGGTAATAAATAACAGGTGGACAGTACGACTTCCCCATTCAAAGAAATGTAAATGAAGAACACTGATGATATAGTAGATGCTTGATCTCTTCGGACGTCGGTTATTAGAATCACGTGTGTGTTATTTGTGATTGCACCGGCCATATTGCAGAACATGAGTTGGATCACACGCAAATAAGAAATTTATTTATTTGGAAATTCTTCATGTCTATCTAGCCCCGGCGAGATCCGTCAGGTGTTCTGTTTGCAAATAATCGATTTGAATTGCCTATGTAAAAAAGTTCTAAATGACCAATTAGTTTCATCGCCTATTTATCGTGCTAATTAGCTGTGGTAGTATAGAATTCAATTTCTAAGAGTGAATGTAGTGTTTGTCACAATATTACAAAATCTTGTTTTAATCTTACATATATATTTTGTTTAGGTTACTGTTTGTTAGCTTTGCTGGTGTAGTTAAAATTTTCTAAAACTGAGTGTGTGCATAACTAATTTCACGTGATCTACGCAGCGTAAAACTTTATTTCTTTTAATCACTACCACGTATCAGGTGAGGTCTTTTTAAAAAGAATTGTACCGAAAAAAATGTGCAATCTAATTTATATTTGACTTTTTAGATTTATGTCATCATGAGTTTTATGTTGTGCATTTTACAAAGGGATTTCGCGATTCACTATCACGTGATATATTTTAGGGTCCAACCTGAAAATCATTTAATACAAATCGGATTCACACATCATTACCATCTGTGTGTACTCTCGCAATATATGCGACATATTTATCTTTTCCTTCGCTGTATTTTTCCTGTGGTCTTACATTTCACCTTCTATCTTTTTTGGCAAAAATCTGACCGAGCATTTGTTCGATTCCTCTATTGCTATAGATATCATACAAGTGACGTATATCACAACAAAAATTTAATAAATAGGACACACTTTTCATTCATCAGACAGGCCGAAAAAGTAACACAATTTTGAATATTTTATTTTAGGGTGTTTCTTTTCTTTTTCTTTTTTTTTTTTTTTTTTAAAGAATATCTTTCATCACTACTCTTTAACCATTACGACCTATACTACCATTTCACTATCTGCTGTTGACTTTTTACGATCGTTAAGACAACTTCATTTCTATTTGCTCAAACGTCCAACCAACTGTCAAAGATTGAACATTCTCCTTTACGAAATTAAATTTTTAGAAAACCATATAAAAAGTATATAGAACATTAGTCGAACAATATAATATTCTCACCCGTGCTTGCTTGTATATATTTCCTACCTCCTTAAATTACGTTAATGTGGATATTGATTTTAACACTTGCCAGTAAGCGACTTTTACCTTTCTAAAGCTATCTTTTCCGTGTCACCGCAGTTCGTATCCAGATAAAAAAAAACCACGATGATGAACTCGACCGAGGATATTGCAACGCATTCAGAGCAACCAAAACTTGATCTAATTTCAACGTCCGATAACATACCCCAAGTCACGATAGAGACTATTAGTAGTCTACCAAATTCTGACACAAACAACAAACTCTCAGGTAATGTCGATGCAGGCAACAAACTCTCGGAAGATCTTCCAAAAGAAAGAAAAGTTCTAAGTTTAATTGCGGATCCAAGTTCTTATTATGAAATGGGGCAATGGGGGGCGTTCGGGAGGGATGGTAAATTGGGATTTGGTGGGATCACAACCCCAAGGAGAACGATGTCATTGACTTACAAGAAGCAAAATTCAAGTTACGTCGACTCTGGTCCTGCATTGTTCACCAGTGAACTTACCCGTGGTTTGGCCAAAGAAAACCATCTAAATGCGGATGATACGCTTCAAGAATCACGAATCCATCAACCACTCGTTGATGAAATTTCTCATGAACCAACGACCCTTAGCCCACCTTCACCTTTGCAATCAATTTATACAAAAGACGTGTCAGACACTTCCGGTGTGAGAAAATTCTTTCACCATAACAGAGCTCATTCTTACACACCTAACGCGAGCGGTGCATCGTTCCCCTTGGAGATTCCTAAGCGTCCGATATCCTCAAACTCTGGAACACGCCTTTTTGTCTCCACACCTGCTAACGAAGACGATTGGAAAGATTTCTTGGATGGCTATGCCCAAGGAAATTTCGATCCTCTGTCGATTCCAAAAAAACCGCGACGACTGTCAGGCAAAAAACATAAGGACGGCAGTTACAAATGTAGTGTACCGACTTCACCACTTTCTGAATACACTGTTTGTAGCGATACAAGTGAAAATTATATTATTCCGGGATTAACTATGGTCAAGGAGGAAAAAGAATTTACACATTCTCCGAAGGATATTATTGGTGTTCAAGTTAATGATAAGTATTCTGTTGGTTGTGATTATAATGATAATGATAGTGATAATGATAATAGTAATCAAAATGGTGAAGAGGAGGATGAAGAAGAGGATGAGGAGGAAGAGACTTATCTTCCTCCTCCAATGCCACCTAATGAGGCCGAACGCAGGAGAGCTTTGTAAGTTTTTTTTGCCAACCTCACCGGTGTGATATAATGAACAGAAACTTACTTGCAAGTTTATTATTTATTATTATTTTTGCAGGTGGCGGTTCCAAATATTAAATACTTCACAGGACATGAATTTTACTCGCCTAGTTGGACTGGTCAAAGAACATTTTAAGGTTCCCACCACCTTGATTTCTCTTGTAAACACCACTCATCAATGGTTCAAGGCTGTAGATGGTTTTGGTTACTCGGAAACTCCGCGGGAAGTTAGTTTTTGTGGTCACGCCATCTTGCAAAAAGATGGTGAACCACTCGTGGTTTCTGATGCGTTGAATGATTGGCGGTTTAAGAAAAATCCTCTTGTCACCAATTCACCTTTCATCAGATTCTACGCTGGTGCTCCCCTGCGGACTAAAGATGGTCACAATGTTGGTACCGTGTGTTTAATAGACCATAAACCAAGATACGATTTCGGCCTATCAGATCGTAAACAGTTGCAAGATTTTGCCAGAGTGGTCATGCGAGAATTGGAACTTTGGGCTGATCGGTTAAGATTGAGAGTGAGAAATAAGATGCAACAAAGCATTGCAGAGTTCAGCAAATTCTGTCTTGAAACCCAGCTCGCACATGAGAATAACTCTACAAAACGAAGAGAATCGACGTGGGTCGGTGATCACAGCAAAAATGGTGACCCGGTTATGCAACAATATTTTGATAAGGCGGTGACATTGATCCGCGAAACGTTGGAAGTTGACGCATTGTATGTTTTGGAAATGCCCTCTTTGTCTTCTCGACCAATCACCACCACCAGTCGACCATCAAACAATGATTTTTCGGACTTCCTTTTAAGTAGTCCACCGCCTGAACCCCCGACAAAACGTCTGAGGTTTTTGGCATCATATGGACTCATGATTTCCCCAGATGCGATTAACACGCTCAAGACCACTTCGTTCTTGACACACCTAATGCAGATGCATTCTCAGGGTTACATATTTCAAAATGCCCTTCCTCCAATACCCACACTTTTTCCCAGTGATATGCACTCAGGCATAGTGGTTCCCATCTTTGATAATTCTAAAAATGCTTTTGGATTCCTTATTGTGCTCACTAAAGATCCTCACCGGCAGTTCGAAGAAGAAGAGCGTGTCTATCTGGGAAATTTTGGGGTAAACATGGTTAGCGAGGTGTTGAAGAGGCGTGTCATTGTGGCTGATCGGGCAAAAAGCGCGTTTATTAGTTCTATTTCACATGAATTGAGAACACCTTTGCACGGTATATTAGCCAGCTGCGAGTTAATGGCGGAAAATCCTATGAACGAGGCACAATTGGAATTGCTCAAGACCATTAAAGGATGCGGCGCTAGTCTGATCTCGATACTCAATAATGTACTGGATTATGCAAAATTAGAAAGTTCACAAGAACAGGATGCTGCCATACGTTACTCACAGTCGTCACCGAGTGGTGATGGCAATCTTTCTAAGGACTTTAAAGACACAGGGAAATCGTTATTACAACGTAACGCCAGGCTAAAAGAAAAAATAAATTTGGTCAAAGTTTTAGAAGATGTTGCTGAATCTTGTGTGGCTGGTCAACAAATGGTTTCAGCTATCTACGGAAAAAATGATCAACAGCTTGACGCTGAAGAAATTTCAACCACAGCTACGCATTCGAGAAAGCGACGGGTTTGTGATTTATTGAGCACAAATCGCAAACAGGTAGTTGGACAAAATGACGTCGAGGTGATCATTGATTGCGAATATAGAGAAAGAGGATGGTGGGTGATGTCTGAAGATGGAGCTGTAAGGCAAATGCTTATGAATGTGAGTGCCTGTTTTGCATGTATGATCTTACTTGTTTGAAAATTCCTAACAAACCTGCGCAATTTTTTATTATTATTTGAAATCAGATCGTTGGGTAAGTTTTTACTCGTCAATTTTTTGAGGAGAGATCATGATAATCAAGTCAAAAGCATTGAATTAAACATATCTTTGTATATCTGATTCAGAAATGCCCTTAAATTTACGCAAAGTGGTTACGTTCGGATCTCACTTACATGCGTGTCATCCCCGAGCGAGGAATCCGAACGATTGCACGTACTTTTTACAATAACCGATACTGGTTGTGGAATTGGATCAAACTTTCTTACTACACATCTATTTCAACCTTTTGCGCAAGAGGATCCACTTCA